TTTTCCCACTATTTTTATTATATTCTCATTTTTTTTCATAGTGCTCATTCAGTCAGGTGTTCTGTCATATATAAATTAGCCTTTTTCCTCACTAGTCCCCTCCCTGCCCTGGCTCTGTGCACTCCAGGGCCTTTCTGCTAATTCCTTTTTGCTTATCCAGTAAGTAGTTTGATATTCAGTTGTTGCTCAAAGGAGAGCTCCACATAAGAGAGTTAATTGAGGAGCCGTCAGTATATAGGTGGTATTTAAGATCATGGGATTAAGTAGAATCACCAGGAAAATATTTGTAATAAGAGAAGAAAAAAGACCCAGGATCTAGCTATGAAGAATTCTCACACAGAGAGAGCGGAGAGAGGAGGGGGAACCAGCAAAGGAGACAGACAGAGGGTGGCTTCTGAGGTAAGAGAACAACTAGGGCAGTGTGACATCAGAGACATGTTTTGAAAAGGAAGGCATTGTTCCAACCCTGCTGAGAGGATTGAGACTATCCATTGCGTTGGACCACATGGAAGTCATTGGCGACGTCAGCAGACAGGGTTCCGGTTGAGTAATGGGAGTAGGTAGAGGAGTGAACGAGAGGGAAAGAAATGAAGACAACCAGGAAACAAGTCTTTGAAGGGTGCTGCTGTGAGATGGAAGAGAAATCAAGATTTTAGCTGGAGGAGGATGTGTATTCCAGATTTTTATTTATTTATTTATTTATTTTGAGGAAGGTTAGCCCTGAGCTAACTACTGCCAGTCCTCCTCTTTTTGCTGAGGAAGCCTGGCCCTGAGCTAACATCCGTGCCCATCTTCCTCTACTTTATATGTGGTACTCCTACCACAGCATGGCATGCCAAGCGGTGCCGTGTCCGCACCCTGGATCCAAACCGGCGAAGCCCGGGCCGCTGAGAAGCAGAACATGCACACTTAACCGCTGCGCCACCAGGCCGGCCCCTCTAGGTTTTTTTAAACTAAAGAAAACTGAGCATGTTTAAATGACCGTTGGAAGGATCCAGTGGAAAGGGAATGATACTTCAACAAGCCGCAAGTACGTTGCGGACACTGAGGATACTGACTAGAGTTCAGTGGGTGTGTTGGAGAGCAAAAAACCCCCAAAAGGTGAATAAAATTGGATATGTTGATTAGAGATTTTGTGTGACCTTGAAAGCCAAGGGAAGAAGTTTGGCGTCAGTGCAGCAGATGAAGAATTAGTTAAGATTCTGGAACAGCAAAATGAAGGAGTTAATTAAGGGATATTGATCCAGAATGTCTCAAAGGTGGGAGGGCCTGGCATCAGGAAGACCTATGAGAATGGTTCAGAAATTTAGATGGAACGTTCTGAGGACCTGGACTAGATTCATGCTGAAAGGAAAGGAAAAATATGGAAACGTTTCCAAAAACAGTGAACAGGTTTTAGTGACCGATTGATTGGTTGCAAAAAGAAAGGGAGAAAGAAGTTTGAAATATGTTTTTAAGGTTCCTTGAATAGGGGAACCTGAAAAATGATTGGTGCCGCTGTTGACATGAGTAAAAAGAATGCAAGAAAGAAGGAACAGATACTTAATAAAGTTAGCCGCCACTGAAGAGTTGAAAAGGATCAAGATTAAGGGGAAATATTAGATTTGACAATAAAGAAATTATTAGAACTTTTTGAGACAAATTTATGAAGAGTGGTAGTAAAAAACATGATAGTTTAGAGTCTTAAATACAGAACGGGCGAGTTCTCCTGTGTGAGGAGGGAAGGCAGCAGTGGTGTGGTCTGTGAAGATGGCGATTTTCATTCGTGTCTCCCACCTGTCTCTCCCACAGAGCTGGCACTCTCTGATTTCTTGTTGAATAAATGAAAGATCAATAGTTTATTTCAGAATGTCACCATTTCCTGCATGGTAGACAGAAGACCTACCAAAGAACCACCCCGGTAGCATGTTCTTTGGGTAACATGAGGAAATTAAAAAGGGACTGAAAATATTTTATTTTCAGCTCTTGACAATCACTATTTAATCACAGTCACCTGATCCATGATTTAAACGCTTGCACTATTGTTATTTTAAATATATTCTTTTCTTTTCCTCGGAAATGACTTATTTTTCCCACCTCTTATGTCTCTGCATATTGTCATGATAGGATTTTTCCCTCCTGTTCTTTTGATTTATTGCATAAATGTAACTGTAAAAAAGAAACAGGAAAACTACTCATGGTCCAACCAGCTTAATACTCACCTGCTTCTCAATATTCTACACTCCTTTCTAGTGCATGTCTCTGTGAATACACAGTTTGATGCACCTGTGATCAACCACAATTTAATATAATTTTTCATTTGGCATTTTTAAATGTAATATATCAAACATGTTTTTTAAAAAATTTATCCTGTTAGGTATAGCTTGCTTTTATTTTAACTACGTGCAGTTGGAGAACCAGCCTCAGTAGGAATCAGTGATGCTCTGGTGTGAGGATGGGAAAGAGACAGAGAAGTAAGGGTGCCAGCTGAGCCCAGTCCCGGTTCCATCGGCCAGACCTCCCCCCAGCCCTGCTGTCACCCTTGCCGTGTTGTATTGTGTTAGGTAGCATGCCCACTTTCAGGGTTCCAGGATGTACTGTTCAGCAGTGTGGCTTCTTTTCTGACAGTCCTTGAAGGAGACTCTGAGTGGTACCCTTCTGATTGGTTACATCATAAGCTATAGGGTCCCGCCACTTGACTCCTGCCCATCAGTGCCCATGACAGGGTGGGTCTGCAGCGGACTTAAGCACAGATGGGGAGTGAGCAGCCAAGAGCCAACCTTAGTTTGGTCTGATGATGGATTTTAACAACTCTGTAAACTTAACCTCTGCTGATTACAGTTTCTGAAATGATGTGTACAGAGATGGGAAGAACCTTTTAGAAAATAGAAAACAGTTATACTGGTGACTGTCTTCAAGTAATGATGAGGTGAAGAGAATGGGAAAAAGAACCAATATAGGAAAAAATACAAGTGGATTGTGTATTTCATAACCCACAACTGGATATATTACATAAATGTGCTTTGGTTTGATATAAAGATAAGGCATAAATAATACCTAAGCGGAGAACAAACTTGAGGTTTGGCAGCACAAGGAATGAGTTAAACTGTAGCTGGAAATGATGACGGAGTTGATCTACTGATCTGTCGTAGTCCTTCCCATCTTCAAAACCAACAAACAACTGAAAAGGAGCCTTAATTTTAGTGTCAGTATTAGGAACGGCAAACGGCTCCCTGTATTCAGTCCTGGACCCTGTTTTGCGTGTTCTGACTATAGTTACAGTGAAACTTTAGTTATCTTCCAGTTTTCATTATGGTCCTTGCCAACATTACTTCACTCTACAGAACTCGTGTCACTAACACGTGTTAGTGATTTTAGTCTTCATTTTACGTGAATAATTAAATAAATCCTTTCTTCATCGAGTATTTAGTATGATGTAAGTGAGGCATCTGGACATCTGAAAGCATTAAATGTGTTTTATATAGTCCTCTTAGCTTTCCAGTAACTTAATTTGAAAAAGTCAATTTAAAAACCATAGTTTTTCTGTATATTAACATGACAGTGTTTAGCCTTTATTATGTCAAAGTTTTAAGAGCACTCGGCTGTTAGACACTTAGCAACGCATGCTCTCAGCCTTCCTGTCGTCACCTCAGATTTCAGGATGTTTGGGTGTGCACTTACTCCTGTCCCAGAAGCAGTCTTTGCAGTTGGTTTAGAGCCGCTGTGCCCTCCTGGTCTGCTTCGGCCTCAGCAGATGGGGCTGCTGCCAGTCTGCATGCATCTGTTTCCCCCAACCCTCCCCACACTGCAGAGGCCTCGAGGTCGGTCTAGGTGCATAGTTGTGTAAGTGATAGCAGTCAGCCTTGGTTCCTCAGTCTTTGAGTTTGTAAAATAGGTCCAGATTTTTCATTTACCCTCCAAGCTCTGCAGTAGGTTTCATTTCTAGAGCCTGTAGGAGATGGATGTCTGGGTTTTCATCCCTAGAATTTTTTTTTAACATTTTCTGTAGTAAATAGTATAAATGGAAATAAAAAATATATTACAGATGAAAGTTAAAAAATAATTATAGTAGTATAGATGAAAATTAAAAATAATTCCTTACCTTACATTTCTCATTGTGTGTTCTTAATTCTGTATCATTTCCATATTCTATAAATCCGTTTTAGATTTAAACTGTACCCTGGATAGATGTAATAAGCCCTGAGGCCATTTGTTCTTGTTTCTGTCTGAATACGTATGAGCACACCATTTCCACTTAATGTTGAAAGCAGTAGGTCATTGGATCAGATCAGTCTCTCCTTAGTATTATTTGTATCTTCTGATTTCTTAATCTAATTTGTGCTCAGTCAAGATATGTTAGTGGTGAATTTTTTTAAGTGTTTATTGAGAAATTCACAATGAATTTTTGTATTTTGTCAAAAAGCAGTTTTTTAGTTGCCAGGGTTGTCAGTTAAGCTGTATTAAGTTGCAAGTTAAGGAAAACCTAATTCAAGGTGATTTATATGAAGGGTATTAGTTGGCTTGTGTATTTGGAAGGCCAGCAGTAGGTCCAGCCTCAGGGTTGATTGATTGAGAATGAATCAATCTGCTAAGAATTTGCTTTCCTTCTTTCTACTCTCTGCATTCTCACTTTCTTCTTGTGGTGACATGGTGGTTACGAGCTGTTCCCAGATTTATGTGATCCCTCGCTCATGTCCAGTAATGTTTCAGAGGCTCACCCAGAAAACCTTTCCTTGTGTTTCATTGACCTTAATTGAATGGTGCCCATGCCTTGAACCAGCAACTATGGCTGGAGATGGGGTTATACTGAGTAGCTCAGGCTTGGAGTCAGCTTTCCTCAAAGCATAGAGTTGTGGGAGGCAGTACAGAAACCCCATCAGAACTGGGTAGTTGTCTAGAGGAGGAGGAAATGGATGAAGGGCGACAGCCACCCTGTTCACTATGCCATGTAAGCTGAAGTCATTAGGTTTCATTTGTAAAAGGTCTTACTTTGTTTCACTGGTTTCTACTTCTGTCTTTAGGGGCTGTTACAACAACCAAAAGGACAGGCATTCCAGCTCCTCGAGAACTTTCGGTAACTGTCTCAAGAGAGAGAACTGTGCCACGTGGTCCCTCCAACCCAAAGAAGTCAGTGTCCAGCCCAACTTCTTCCAGCACACCTACCCCTACCAAGCACCTGAGGACCACTTCCACAAGACCCAAGCAAGAGAATGAAAGTGGAGAAAAAGCCGTGCTCGAGTCCCAGGTTCGGGAACTTTTGGCAGAAGCCAAAGCAAAAGATAGTGAAATTAACAGGCTTCGAAGTGAACTAAAGAAATTCAAAGAGAAAAGGACTCTGAACGCTGAAGGAACTAATGCTTTGGACCCAAATGTAGATGGAACATCAGTTTCACCAGGTGACTCTGAACCTTTGATAAGAGCTCTTGAGGAGAAGAACAAAAATTTTCAGAAAGAACTTGCTGACCTAGAGGAAGAAAACCGGGCCTTGAAGGAAAAACTGACTTATTTTGAGCATTCTCCAAATTCAGAAGCGGGGGCAAGTCAGACTGGTGATAGCAGCTGCCCAACATCTGTAACTCAAGACTCAAGCTTCGGAAGCCCAACTGGAGATCAGTTGTCAGGTGAAATCGATGAATATAAAAAAAACATACACGAAAATGCATTACGGACGTCAGGATCTTCCAGTAGCGATGTTACCAAAGCTTCTTTGTCACCAGATGCCTCCGATTTTGAGCACATCACAGCAGACACCCCCTCTAGGCCCCTGTCTTCCACCAGCAACCCATTTAAGAGCTCCAAGTGTTCCACCACTGGGAGTTCCCCTAACAACGTGAGTGAGTTGTCCCTGGCTTCCCTTACCGAAAAGATACAAAAGATGGAAGAAAATCACCATAGCACAGCCGAAGAGCTGCAGGCAACTTTACAAGAATTGTCAGACCAGCAGCAAATGGTGCAGGAATTGACAGCTGAAAATGAGAAACTGGTGGACGAGAAGACTGTTTTGGAAACTTCCTTTCATCAGCATCGAGAGAGGGCAGAGCAGCTAAGTCAAGAAAACGAGAAGCTGATGAATCTCTTACAAGAGCGAGTGAAGAATGAAGAGCCCAGTGCTCAGGAAGGAAAGATCCTTGAACTGGAACAGAAGTGTGCAGAAATTCTTGAACAGGGCCGCTTTGAAAGAGAGAAGCTGCTCAACATTCAGCAGCAGCTGACCTGTAGCTTACGGAAGGCTGAGGAAGAAAACCAAGGAGCTTTAGAAATGATTAAACACCTAAAGGAAGAAAATGAAAAACTGAATGGGCTTCTGGAACTGGAACGGCGTAATAATAGTGTGATGGCCAAAACTCTGGAAGAATATAAAGTTACCTTCGAAGGGCTGAAGATGGAAAATGGGTCTTTGAAGGCTCATTTGGAGAATGAGAAGCAAAAAGCTGCAGAGACCAGTCTTGTGGGGCAAACAGCAGAGGGCTGTGAAGTTCAAGAAATGTTGAAAGTAGCTCGAGCTGAGAAAGATCAGCTGGAACGGTCTTGCACCGAGCTCAAACAAGAGTTACTAAAGGCACATGGCGAAGTTAAACATGTTTCAAGCCTACTAGCCAAGGTAAGGTGATACCTCTTTACCAGTATCTGCTCATCCTTGTTAATTAACATTTCCCTCCTTGACCTTTAAATTCACAGAGCACAGAGAATCGTTCCGTCAGTTTCTTTCATGAATCCAGCATTCTGGCTTGAAGATGTTAGATTCCAGACAGACTGGGGATACAAAAATGAAATACCCCAGTTTCCAACTACAGGCAGTTCAAAGTGTAGTGGGGATATGGTGAGTCAAATCAGTGAGTATGATGCAGGGATGAAGAATGTCATAGAGGACAGGCTAGAGACCAGTGCCAAGGAGGATCACCTAGAATTATATGGGATAAAGGAGGGCAGGGCAGGAGAACTTCTTGAAAGAGATGCTGTAAGCCGAGTCCTGAAGAATGAGTGAGTAATGCAGGCCTATCAGTTAGCATGCTTTGGGCTGCTAGTAACAGAAAATTAAAATCACCTTGAGTTTTCCCACCAAGTAATAATATAGCCACTGTTTTGGTGTTTTCTTCCAGATCTATGTGTGTATGTGTGTACATGTATCTCACAAGTTAAAAAAAATTTTTAGAATCATCCTGTACATATTAACTTTTTTTAATTTAATATTTTCTGAGCATATTCTCATGATTATTCTTTGAAACATGATTTTAAAGGCCAGATTGTATTCTGTTATATAAATATTTCATATATGCTTTGCTGGTCGCCTCTTGTTGAACATTTATGTTCTTTTCTAGTCTTTTGATATTGTAAATACATTTTTTATGTTTCTCTGATTATTTCCTTAGGAAGAATTCCGAGACATTGACTTACAGTGTCAGAGTATGACCATTTTAAAGACTTTCAGTATGTTTAGCCAGATCGCTCTCCAGAAATACTATACCAGTTTGTTCCCCCAGCAGATCAGGCTTGCTTCCCTGAGCCCTTGCCAACACTCGGTGTCAAGTTGTTGGGTCACCCAAATCTGGTCTTCATCTCCTCTTTTCTCCTCCCCTTTTTCACTTGCAAAGATCTTCCCCAACCCAAGATCAAATAAATGATCACTTCTTTCATCTTTGAAAGAGTCCTTCAGTCCATCTCTGGATCTTTGTTATATGATGAAGATTGCTAGTAATTGTATAACATTCTGCCCACTCACAGAGCAGTGCTGGAAGTGTGTAGACAGGTGGCTTCCTATTTTCCGTTTCCTCTAAGCTCTGGGTCTGTGATTTAGGGGTTCCTTGGTAAGAGAGGTTGAAAACATCTTCCTACCTTATTTCACAGTTTTCAGTGTTTTAAGAAACTAATTATGCCATGAGCTCCCAGGGGGATTTTTCTCTACTGTTGTCAGTTGCAACCTAATCTGACATTGGGCTGTCTGATGATCTGAATGGTGGGTAGTGGTCTGAGTTTTTATCATTGTGTTCTAAATTCACAGCATTTTATTGAAGGTATGGACACAATTCCATTATAAGGTACTAGCCAGGCGCCTATTTAAACTGTAGGTTGGGAGTTGTAGCTTTACATTAAGTTTTGTTTTTTTTTTAATTAAGATTTTGATAGTTTACAACCTTGTGAAATTTCACTTGTACATTATTGTTAGTCGTGTTGTGGGTACACCACTTCACCCTTTGTGCCCTCCCCCCACCCCCCCTTTCCCCTGGTAACCACCTATCAGTTCTCCTTGTCTATGTGTTAACTTCCACCTATGAGTGGAGTCATACAGAGTTCGTCTTTCTCTGTCTGGCTTATTTCTTTACATTAAGTGTTAATGTCTGGAATAAGTCCCCCTCCGTTACTCTTGTGAAATGTTTAATCTCCCCGGCAACCTTCTTGAGGTCCTCCCTCAGTCCCTCATCTGTCTCTTTGGTATTTCTGTTGGCCTTGCATTAAATATATGTGTCATTGAGAAATAATTTGGCATCTTAAAACGATAGCTTATTTTTTTCTGATTGTAAAATTATATATTCATTACAGAAGGTTTAGAAAATACAGATAAGTATAAAGAAAATAAATATTACTTTTAATCTCACCACTTGGAGAAAAACACTGCTAACGTTTTTCTATATGTTTTTTCAGATGTTTTCCCAGTTTATGCACGTTTGGGCATGCATGCAAACTTGTATTGACATGATTACAATATTTAATCTTCCTATTCAGAAGAATAGAGTATGTCACTCCACATTCCATGAATACAGAGACCCAGTTGGATTAGCTTATCACTTATACTGTTAATCTATTTCTGTCTAATTTGTTTCTACTTTCATCTTTATTCTTTTATCCTGCTTTTTGTACATTTCCTTGGTTTCTTCCGAGTTTCTTGAGTAAAATTTTTTGATCATTTGTCCTTTCTTGATTGACAATGAAAGCATTTAAAGGTATGAATTTGCCCTTTATTATAGTTTTGTCTAAATGAGGACAGTAAAATCTAGAATTTTCTGGGATAAACTAAGTCTAATTTGGAGAAAAAGAAAAAGTGTTTCATTCTCTGTAGAGTCCAAGGTACGATACATGTTTTAAATCAAGCTGTTAATTATATTATTCATATATTCCATATCTTTGTGTATTGCTTACTGATTAGAATTACCAAATACTTGACAGTAGGTCGAAAAAGGTCCTAGCTAGTCTTTTGAGGTAAGAGTCTTAGGTAAAATGTGTGAGGCAGGACATCACCTAGAGTTTCATATGTATCGAGATCCTAGGTCTGTGATTTTGTGCTGTCTTATGTGTCTGTCATTGCAGCAAAGTTGTAACTTGTACTAATCATCCTGCCCGTTTCTATTACTGTAGAAAAAGTAAAGCCCACATCTCGTAGGCTGACTGCTAGCTTATTGTAGCCCCACTGCAGAATGTCGGCTAATCCACCAGCAACCGTGAATTCCAACGATCAGATGTAGGGACTCATGCCCACAGGAAACAGGAGCACTTTTAGCACAGAACTGTAATGAAGGATGTAGAGGGCAGGGCTGACACCTGGAAAGCCTGGGACCTCCTCACGTGGCTAGTGGTTAATTTTGTGGCCTTGGGCGGCCCCTTTCCATTGTACGGTGTGGAATAGAAGCGCAGTGGTGGACGGATCCTTGTTTGAAGGGAGTGCTTTCAACATTTCGTCATTAAGGATGTCTGTTGTAGCATTTGCTGTGTACCTTTTATTAAGTTATGCAAGTATTTTGCTAAGAAGCATTTTGCTTTATTTGCTTGTTTTTAAAAAAAGGATGGAGGGGCCGGCCCTGTGGCCGAGTTAAGTTCACGCGCTCTGCTTTGGCGGCCCTCGGTTTCTCCGGTTTGAATCCTGGGTGCGGACATAGCACCGCTTATCAGGCCACGCTGAGGTGGCATCCCACATGCCACAACTAGAAGGACCCACGACTAGAACATACAGCTAGGTACTGGGTGGATTTGGGGAGAAAAAGCGAAAACAAACAAACAAAAGATTGCCAACAGTTAGCTCAGGTGCCAATCTTAAAAAAAGGGATGGAGATCCAATTTTTCTACGTCTACGGTAGATCTTACACATTTGTAACCTCTGCACTGCATGAGAAAATCTGTTATTGTAATTCATCTCATTAACAAATTAGAGGAGAAAAACCGTTATGATGACATAAAAACTGTAAGATCACAGCAGATGTACAAGATACAGTATAGGTCTCATACAGCACGTTTGAGCTCTCCATTCATCCTCTCTGATTCTTAGCAGGAGACGGATGTTATGAGAAAAGAGCAAAATAACCTATTTAGTACAAAGAGGCAGTGCCAAACTCTCCTATGATCTAATAGGTTTAGTAAATCTATATAAGTTTCCGGTTTAGATAAGTTGCTTAAGTGACTCAGATGCTGTTTGACGAGCCTGAAAAGCCTTAAAATGTACTTTTTTTGGTCCAGGGTGGATCTGTTCCTCATACAGTAAGTGGAAAATTGGTAGGACATTTACAGTAATTGTGTGACTGTTTTGTAGGCTTTTTCTTCCTCTCGTTTCTTTGTCTTCAGCTGTTGGCTGATATCTCCATTCTTTTCAGCTTCTCCGATATCCACCGTGTACATTTTGCTGGCAGCTGAATGTGTGATTCTAGAACACAGCGCTGCACTGCTCTGAGGAGGGGTCTGATCTCCAGCGTCCTGCAGTCTCCTCCTGTCAGCCGCACGTGTGCCGCCCCAGCTGGCAAGCACTGTAGTTCATGGGGTCATTGTTTTCCAGACTATGATGCAATCTAGGTTTACGTTTTTTGACTTTGAAGTTTTCTGTCATTTGGTATCTTGATTTCAAGTTAGAGAATTTTTATAAGGCTTGAAACCTAGAAGAAAATACTGGTTTTTTTCTTCCTGAGGTTGAAAGCTTATCGGGAAGCTTAGCCTATAACTCAGCTTTAGGTATCCTTAGATTTTTAGTTTTTTCTGCAGAAACACGAGCATCTCTTCCAGAGGAGTAAGGAGATTGTAAAGAAACACTTGCTGTGAGTGGTTGGGGAAAACTCGAGGTGAAAGAATCATTGTGTGACCAGCTTGGTCACCAGGCCAAACTAATTAGGGTAGCTGCTGGCCACAAATGGCAAGACCAGGATTTGAGAGAAAGACGTGGCTGGTACATGATCCTGTAGCCACGACTGCAGAATAGGACTCCATGAAGGACTGGCGAGATCTTGGAACCTGGTGGCCCATGCGGATGCCCAGGTGATGCTTTGGTCTGTAAGAAACAGAAACCCCTACTGTCAGTGGCCCAAGCTGACAGACGTCTGTTCACCGTGCTCCATAATCAGAAGTCGGGAGGTAGGCAGTTAGCAGCCGTGGTCCAGGGGCTGCATAATGTCAAGGCTCTGCACTGGCAGCTCTATTATTCCCTCCACCCTCCTGCCACAGGTGCAGGTGAGCACCGTGTCTTCAGCATCTTATCCCCACAGTCCTGACAGGCAGGAGGCTTGGCCTCTCCCCAGATACCTCAGTCCTATTGGGGAAAACATTTTCCCCCAGAGCACCCTTAGCAGCTTTCCCTTTATTTCTGGTCAGAACTGGGCCACACACCATCTCCCAGCCCACCTTCCTCGA